AATCAACCGAATACGGATCTTTTTAAAGGAGGAAATTGAAACCGTAGTTTCCAACTCTGCTACTTACTACAAGTGCTAAGTATTTTCATGTACGTATGTATGTGAACTACTAGCACACGTAGTTCTAACTGAATTTTCACAACTTTCTTTCAATCTTAAGTCCCACTTATGTGTCTAAATATAACGAGCAATGAAGTTTTTAAATAATTTAACACTAGGTCTAGGGTTCACCGTGTGGTGAGATTTATTTACTGTGAAACATTTTTGTACCTTTCTGGGTCCGCGCAATTGTATATTCACGTGGGTTTTCCCAATCGTTGTACAACCGTCGCACAATTTACGTCAGCGCTTTACCAAAATGGGCAAGTTGGTGTTCTTATTAAAACCAATGAGTAAAAAATTATCATTCAAATTTTTGAAACTTTAAACAATATGTTTCTACTTGCCAAGTACGACTGCCACATAAGAGGATTTTTCCTTATTTATGAAACCTGCATTATTCCTCAATTTTGTTCTAATAATGATCCTAATGTGAAATATACTGACGAGTTTACTTATTATTTGTCATTATTTGTATCTGTAAACCAAAAAAACGCTTGAATGGAATTCGTATATGTAATCTTGTTGTGATTCTAGAGATATTTTTGACAAAGGACTAATGAATGAATAAAATCCGGATGGGCCGGATGTTTTAAAAGAACGAAACGAAATTTTAATCGGATGGAAAGAGGATTATTTGTCCTATAATCCCCTGTCCCTACGTTTGATCTTTAAGGATTACAGTGCGGGCACTATGAGGATTATTTTCCCATTTACCTCACGCACGTACCTACATGTGGTAGAATCGGTAGCAGGACGTGCCGGCCCGATTTGCGGAGCGAAGCGACCAAACCTTCACCAAATCCTACAAAACCGAAAACCAACATAAATGGACGAAATGGAAACGATCATGGTACGAGGTGCAGGCGGACGGCACGTCCTCAGGCTTGGGATAGTATGGGCCAGATGGCGCTGGATCGTCGACAATTTACTCTCGTCATAAAGGTTACTATAACTCATTGGAGGAATGTTAATAAAAAACCGGCTCGGAGCTTAACAGCCTATGCGTTTAACCATCTTAACACTATTTCGGTGGGCGCCGCAAGAGATATTAAAACAACCTATTTACAGTACTAATAATTGAGAAAACTTATTTCAAACGAAATTTGAGACAGTTGGTCACAACGAACCTTCTGGTGGGCAAATAAAGCCAAACAAGAGTTAAAATAAAATGTTGGGCAGAACAATGTCATGGTTTATGTTGCGTCTTAATTTTTTTTTAACAGGACTATTGAAAATTTGCTTATCGTGTAAAATTCTACGCAAGAACGTTTCACTAGTATAAGGACTCAGCATAGCATATTATTTTCCAATATGCCGTGAATAAGAAACTAAAGTTGTCACGGGTTCCACTGTATTGTGTCAAGTTGAAGCTTGGCGAAAAATATTTAAACGAGACCTTTTGATCCTTACATAATCATTGACTTCTTCAACATACACGACTCTTATTGTCAAGGAAAAAATTAACTCCAACAAGCCCAAAGAAAGTTTTTTTTTTTTTTAAACGCGAATTCTCAAATATAGAAATGGAATATTTTCACGTAATACTGTATGTTTAAGCAATGGGATTGCACTAGATCTGCGAGAGCGTGAAATGACCTTAGACTATTGTTTTTTACTGTGGAATTATTTTCTTTCCAATCATACTTCAATTTATGAATTATTAAAAAAGGTTTTATTTTATTTAAACTGAAATTGTAATTTTTTATTGATATTTGCACAACTAATTTATAGAATATTGAGTTGATAAAAAGCCATTAGACTCGCGTTTCACTTAAATTATTTTAACATTTGAACCGAGACAACGGCTTACTTACGACATAATTTAATATATTCAATTAAACCGTGCCATATTACTCCAACTTTTCATGTTTGATCATATACGAAAGCGTCGAGGACACGCGTAAGAATGGATTATTTTCATTTGCAATAATTACAGTTAAATTCCAATGATGATATACTTGGCGAAAGATAATTGGGGTTTTCCTGAGAAATATTACATGCAATTAGAATGTAGAAAACGTGTATTCATTCTTTTCCATCCTGCAGATTGTATAAGAAATATTTTAAAAAATATACAGCCGTACATGTAAAATACTATGGTTCGTATATTAATTTCGACAATATTAATAAAATATATCATACATTAAATCCAAATTATAGATCTCCACATATGGAATTGAGTGTTTTTTTTTTAATATTAAAAATTTAAACTGGAAAATCACCAGCATACATTAATGAACAGCAACTAACATCATCTGGATAGATATTAAGTGCAATTATACAAGAAATGTCAACCTTGGGTTATTAAAAAATGTAATTACATCGTGTTATTATTTAAAAGTATACTGAATAACTTAGCAAAGAATACGGCCAAAATTGTGAAATTGGATGAATTTTTCACTACTTACATCATTAAAAATTCAAACGTTAATTAACATCAGAAATTAATAAAAAAAATTATATCGACAGACTTTATAAAAATTAATGTCATCCGTAACAATATTACGTGTAATTGTAAGGCAAACGGTTGATTTTTATCTTTGAAATTCACCAAATCCAGGGGAAAGTTTTTTTCCCGCAATAATGTTTAAAAGTATCAAGCGGAATGTTATTTGCTGATAGGCTTTTCAAATAATAATTAACCTCACCCGGAGAAACATCATTTGCAATCATGCCGAAAAAGCTTGCGCCATTACTATCAAATGTTGTCCAACAAAAATTTTATTTGGGTAAATATATCAAAGAGTAAATGGCTTCAAATGTAAACTGGTTTAATTTTCATTTATTACAGATTTTCATTTGAAAAAAAAATGCCCGATCGTTTAAATGAGCATTGAAAATAATAAATAACTATAATTATTCTAATTCCGGCAAACATTATACGAATTACAAGGAAAAGGTCTAATTTTTTTTAAATTTCAATATATTGTATGTTATACAAGAACTATACAGAATACTGATTATTTACATGTGTCTGAATTATTTTTTATTTTAATATTTATTTAAATTATTTAAAAGGATGATGATTCACATGACATTTACGGCCTGTTTAGTCTTTTAAATATAATATACTTTTCCAGAAATATTGCATTAGTTTATATAGTAAAGGTTTAGTTTAATCCAAAAAAATATATGGCAATAAAACAATTTTATGTCGGAATATTAAAACTTTTCCATTCGATTTTAATTGTTTATATTCTTGCTAACATTTAGGAGCTTCCTGTTCGCATTTTCCTGCACATGGCCCTGTAATTTTTTAGTTTGCTGTTTACCTCGCATAAACACAAGCAGCCGGCATGTTACTCGCATATTATTTACACTACCTCCACTTGACAAACTGCAACTCGTTGCAACAAAAATACTAAAGTTGAATATTTTAAAAATAAAAGTTCTTGTATCCTGACACTTTAATTGTTTATGAAACCTTACAATAAGAATTACTTTTATGTAATAGCATGTTTTTTTTTGTGTTTTTTTTATTTATATCGCAGCTTGTTTATGGATCAGATATCAGATATCTGATAACATTTACTTTAATTACTACCTTCAAAAAGTGATATAAATAATTCCCCTATTGAACAAGATTAATGTTAACATTTATTACTAAAATGCAAATTTTTACCAGACACCTGAGTCTTAGTCTTAATTAGCTGGGTGAAGGACCGGAAGCGGCAGCTTTGCAGCATCTAAATCTTGTCAGAAGCAGGAAACAGCTATGTAAAGATGTGGTCCACCATGGTGAACAAAACCATTTTTATATCGATGAAAAAGACATTAGAAGTTTTTCTTACGGCATACTTATAAAAGTGATTTTTTAAGTTAAATAGCGTTTAAATCCACGGCTCTAATCTCCTTTTAAAATTATTTAATGAACTACTAAATACAGATTACTTTCTGAAATGGGAAATAAATTTGGTTTAAATGTTTTCTTTATTATCTTTTTTTTAATCCTACTTTGAAAAACTTTTGTATACATTGTACAAAAAATATATAAATGGCAATAAAAAGCTCGCTAAACAAGGTTGGTGTAGTTCTGAGTAAACACCCAGAATTAGTTTTTGTTCCGAACTATACCGAAGAAGGTAGGGAAGCCTTGTATTCACGCGGGAGTTCAAAAATATTTTTGTCCTCCAAAACCAAAATTTCCTCTCGAAATTTGCGTTTCAGACCATTCTGGACAAATTGGGTTCAGTATCAGTTAGTCAGTCTGTCTGTGGTCAATTACTTCTAACCGCCAAACTCCGAAATCATGGGACCAATTTTTATTAAATTGTCTGAGATTTTGTGGGTCGGTTTCTAGATGGTCCTCTATTACTTTCATTGCAATCTTATCAACGGTGTGCGCATGCTCAAACGTAAAATCGCGTCCATAGCTATATCTCCAAAGCCAATGCTTCGATTCTTATGCAATTTTCAGGAACTATGCTGGTTAACATATGTGCATGCGCATCCACAAAATGAGAGGAAGCTATACTGCCCACCCACTTGGCGCAGACGTTTTATCCTATAAGAGTATAAAATGTAATATTTATAGTTTTCTATAAACATTATTTTAAAATAAAACAAAATTTCCGACTTTAATTAGTAAGGAAGGGGGAATTAGTAATTTTGCAGTTATAAGTTAACACAAAATTTCCATTTTTCAACACTTTCCCAGAAAAACTCCACATTATTTTTCACTAGCACATCCGCCTACAATTATTACAATAATATTTTTTAAATAGTATTTATTGTCCAATAAGTGAACCATCGTTTGAGACATTTTATACAGTTGTCCTGCCCAAGTTAAAACGAAAGGTTGGCATGATTTCTATAATTTTAAATTATACTAATTTCGTAATGGTAGTTTATTCTTATTTCATGTGTTTTATCAGCTGATAGTAAGAATTTACACTGACCTGTTGCATTTTTTCAAAGTCGAGGCATGGGCGTGGCGGTGCAGCATTCCTGTGCCGTTTTCTAGGGGACGCTTCGTGGAGTGCAGCCGAGTAGGGCCTGTGGGTGCCTCTTGGTGGTGAAGTCCTAAACTGCACAGGTGCAGTCATTGCAGCGACCAGGCCGACGACTTCCTCGTCCGACGAACCGGAGCTGCCGCCCTCCGTTCTGCACCTCCCGGGCCTTCGGACACCCACGTTTTCCGGCGTCACCTAAACACCAACCCCATCATCCATTACATATCTACCTAGGCAACAGGGAGAAAAATTCTATTATAGTTTCCTACGTAAGGTTGAATTCCTTCCTTCCAACTGATTGATCTCGAACAATTGAATTGCCCGTTTGTAGAAAAAAAAAAGATCTCCCGATTCGTGATTGTAATAGAAGATAATCGGGGATCTGTATTAATGGGCCTACATAAAGACGAACCTAACCATGTTCAAGAGACAAAGGATTAAATCAAGGAGAGGTAAAGCTATCGGATCGGAACATACTTTGAGAAAACCGACCACCTCAGCATTATTCCATTTCTTTTATCCTTGGCTTGAATGAAAATAGAAAACGAACCAGGAAAATTGATAAGATAAATGTGTAGTGTGGGTGTTGTGATTTGTGGTATACCAGGCATACTATTTCCATATTTATCTGCTCGCCAGCTTCCGCTATGTTGTAGTCATATTATTAAGTCAATTATTAACAACTACTGAATTAAAAGAAATCAAGAGGTTACATTTTTTAATATCATTCAAGATACCCCCTTTCACTTTGTTGATTAAAAAAATCAAACAGTTGTCTAAAACCTTACAGGAATGTAATTATAATCCGTTAATGTCCTAAAAATACATGCAAGTCGTAAAGTGCTTTTTAAATCCTTTAATCATAAGACTAATTAAAAAAATTATGTACTTTATCGCTTACATCAATTGATCTTGTCTCAACATTTATATGATTAAAAGCATTAGATGGAACTAGGTACAAAGTTAGATTTAGAGTTATAACTACATAGACTTGAGAAGGACTACAAATTATGATCTTTATGCACGTTCAGCGTATGTACTCTTTTTCCCCACAATAGATTAAATAGATATTCATATAAAGTAAATTATTCCATATTAATACTATATCTCAATATTTTACATACTGCTTAATACAACCGTAAGTATAAAAATAAAACCTTATATAATTTTTTTAATTTTTTTATAATTCACATTTCGGTTTTTGAAGATCCATTGCCATTCCCAAAATATTTAGCTCACTTTGAAAATATCAATATTATATATTTTTACCAATGTTTTTATTTTACATTTATATAACCTAAAAAGATTCAAAAAAATAATAGCAGAGATAAATCTTTGGTTTATGTCCTTTATGAACTAAATGGTTGGTGGCGTCAGAAACATTTGTTCAGAATATTATAAATAACAAAAGTTGCTACAAATTTATTGTCTAATCAAATGAAAATTTATTTTTAAAAATGCTACAACAATATTTGCATTTTTCGCGTAAAAATCTTATTTTTACAATAAATTGTCCTAACATTTTAATGTTTTACGATATATTGAAGGCCAATAAATCAGTATTTCATACGTCAAAAGTGCTACGAACTATTGCGCTAGTAAATGATAAATGAAATAATTGTATATTGTTATAAATGGTTATAAGTTTTACACCTTTCAAATTTCAATAACGTGACTACATAATTCTTCCAATGATTTCCCCAAGCATGTCCATATTTTATGGTTTATGTCCTAGAGTATAGATTATTATTTCGAAAAACGTGAGTACATTTTAACAATTTTCCAAGTCTGACATTTGCCAGGTTCGTTGGATAATTCATTCCAAGAAATCATCAGGAATATAATTGTCATTAATAACTTGTTTTTCAGAAGATCAAAAATTCGAGGTACTGAAAGTATGATTGCCCTCAGAAAAGACCCCAAGTCTTTGTGACCGTCGTGAACTGAGGAATAGGCAAAATATTGCATTCTTCGCCAATTTTTTTTTCAAACCCTTATTACGGCTTGTTACGGCTTGAAATGGATTTTCGGGGACAAAAGGTCAAATGGAAATAAACAAGAGTCCAAACCTTAAGGGCTTCGGTTGGAAAGGTTTCTCCGAGTTAGGTTCCGATCAAGGACCCGAGGGTTTAAGTGGACAGAGAACAAACCTTGTCGACGTTTCCTATACATAATGGGAAACCCTTTCCCCTGACAGGGGTGTTCGCAGAAGAGAACACCCCTAATAAGAAAATTCAAAATTCATGATCAAGTTTCGAAAAATAATGTTTCATACATTTTTTCAATGATTATTAAAATTTAAGCGTTAATTTGAATTTATTAATATTTAAATTTAATGAGGGATATTATAATATTAAATCAAATTCTGTCATAAATTCACGTCCCATTATAATACGTAAGTCTAGATATAAAGATTAGATTTACACCCAATTTAATTAATTCTCACAGAAGGCGAAAACCCTCAAGTGAGTTTAAATAATCAGTTTAATGACTGTTTCTAAAAATATCCCCTATTGCGATTTCTCACTCGGACGGACGTGGCTCTTTGAATGCCAATGAAACTGTAATTCCTCGAAGCCGTTTAAAAATGTACAGAGCGCGCAGAAAGGAGTCAGAACAACAAACGCCTTTATTTTAATTAAACTGTGACAATGTGTTGGTTCATTTAAAAGAAAATCGTTCAATCGACATTGTACAAGGGGAGTAGGTTTTCACATGACATTCCCTGAGTCGCTTCTCAGGCACTCGTGGGTTCGTTTAAAACTCTATGCATTTACGATCAATATTCGACCCGCCAAACTGATTGGAATTTTCTAATAAGCCTCTGATATATGTATTTTTATGTGAATAAGTGGTTCGAGACAACTTAGCAAGGACTGGATACAACTAATTAAACAATTACCAAATTGCGAATTGTGAAGAAGGGATCGCAAAGAGGGCATTGACCAAGCCTGGAGTGTGCTAATCCTCCTACTGTTTTCTTTCAACAGGAAATCAAACAGCAAACATACGTCCAGTTGTTTTCTTTGAATTCTTCCTTTTCGAATTGCAAATTTGATTTAATTTTCTTTTTAATATCACTAATAAATCACCTTTAGTGATACGTTAATTAAATTATGTTACCCTACCCATGTAGGGTTGGGCGAAAACCAACGTCTTCATCAAATAACAGACCAGGCACCGCTGGAATTTATCAGCAAATTCAAAAAAATCAACTACTAGAAGTGTAAAACGAAAAAAAAATCAAAGAAAATTTTAAGTACAACCACCCGTTCCTCAAGTCAAGAAAACTCAATGGAATGGAACAACTCACAAAAGAATCTTCCAAACACTGACAAAGTAGATTCGAATCTAGGCTCATCCTTATTTGCATGTACACAAAAGCGATCTGATATACCAAACAAATTTGGGGTTCTCACAAAAGAAAATAGTTTAGAAGAAATTGCGAACGCGCCAATAGTAACACCAACGGTGCAACTAAACAAGAGGTTTTATCATCTTGATCAAAAATCAATTAAATTATCAATTTCGGTCTCTTCTACGAGGGCCTCAAAGCGGTGCCTGGAGGCTCTTTCCTCTCGCAACACCTTACACAACTGGAGACAAGGTGTGCAAAAAATGATTCAAATTCAACCCAGTAAAATCTATCGACATAATCTTAACTATCTGCGAAAAGATCCTTCCTCAAGTTCACTTCAATCAAATACACCTCCCAAGTGTGGTACTTATACAATGGAATCCTCACACACGACTGAAACGGCATTAAATTATGAAAGGTTTCACAGCACTTTCACGACATCTTGACAAACGTTCTAATCTACCTCTCTTAAACAGAAAACTGCTTTATAAGACCCTAATGAACCAACTGGAAGTTTGGGGTTCAGCCAAACATTCCAATATCCTTCGCATTCAAAGAGCCCAATCTAATACTCAGAAAAATCCTTAATGCTCCCTTTTATGCGTCCAACGAAACTATCCATTAAGGCCTAAATATTCCTTTTGTCCAAGATGTATCGATACCGACAATGCCATACAAAGGCTCCAACCAACATAAATCCTCAAATATATATCCTCTCATCCCGATAAAGATCCATATTCTGTCCAGGGATAGCGATTAAATAAAGAACACTTAGGAGTACAAAGTGAATAGTTTCTCCACTCTTTTTTATCTATTTATATACACACCGTTACTTTAAAGCAAAATGAAGAAGTTGTAATATACAATAAAAGAATGTATGTAATATATAATAAAAAAATCCCATCGATGTGACGAAAAAAGGAACATGTTGAAAATACATGAATGAGAACTAATCGCTTTGTAAATACGGGTTTCTTCTCATTTACCTGCTGTGATCATCTTTGAATTAGCGAATTCAATTTGTGAATTGCGATTCATGGTCTTTGGGCGGAAGTGGTTCAACGAAAATTTGAGATTGGCTACACGGGGCTATGAAGGAAAACGAGTTTTAAGACGTCACAGAAGCAGCTCAAAGGCGTGATTTAAAACACCTTCTATCTGAATGTACAAAAACTAGATTTATTATTTTGTAATAACCAGTGTAAAGACAGTGGTGAAAAAAAAGTATATCGGTTTTATTTGCTTGTTTATTTTAATTGCTGGTTAGACAGGCAAAATAGTTAAAGTTATAAAAACAGATATTTTTTGTAAAGATTTCTGTAATTATAACTATTCAAAAAAATCGTAAGTACTTACATTCCAATAATTAGAGGCAAAATAAATTTGATGGAACATAGTAAAATTATTTTCCCATTAAAATGTGTTTCTAGCAAGACGTATGTTGGAAAAACAACACCATTTCTTAAAAACAGAATGACACAACACGAAAAAGGTGTCATAAATCAGCAACAAATCGTAGGATTATCTCAACATGTTTTTGAGACAAAACATAAATTCGAATTTCAAAATGTTAATATTCTTATAAAAGAAAAAACCAAATCAAATTACATGTATTAGAAACTATATACATAAATTGTACTGAAAACAATTTTAATATAAAAACTGACTCACAGAAAATGAACTACCATTATAAAATATTTTGAATACTTATAAAACTAACCTAGATAGTAAGTAGAATTTCATTTAATGTGAGCACAAATAATATTTATTTAATTTTTGTTATAGTGACTATGAACATATAATTATTTATTTAATATATAACTAATTGTGATAAAAA